AATTGAAGATATTCCGATTTTGACAAGACTAGGAAATCTGGGATTAAATTCATTATATTAGGGAAGAATGCTTGCCTGTGTAGGAGTACTTTTTGCAGTGGATCTCAGTGTCAATCTCTGTATCTCCCTGATGGCAGTGGGGGCACAGCCTGTCCTCTCTGTTCCTAACCTCTCCTTACAACCCATGCACAAGTGTGTCTTTGCATGTGGAAGGACCTCTCTCACCTCATCTCTTACATAAACCCTACCCCCAAAGCTCACCACATACTCACAGAAATGTTTTTATACTCCCAATGAACCATAATTAAAGATATGCATAACCTTTCAATATTGCACACAAAAAACAGAACAGTGGGCAGAAACAACCACGTGTTTTAAGGGTATGATGCTCAAGTGTGTTCATCTAATGGGGTCAGTCTGCTGTGAACATTACTTTGGCTCTGACAGCCTCACAAAGCAGCCTTTTAACAGCTTCCTAAACGACTCATGAGGGACATTTGACCTCTCCTTCACCAGAACCTCTCTAGTTCCACCAGGTGAATCTGCATTCTTCAGCACAAACTATAAATATTCTCCTGGAGCCTCTGGTGACCAGGCAAAGACACTGATCTTTGTACTCTCTTCACCTTCTGGTCACTGAGTGTGACGCAAACTTTACTTCGTTAAGCAGTTGTTAAGTCCATTTCTGACCAAGCTTGGGCTTCGTTATAGAAGGTGCCAGTCTTTGGCTCAGTAATCTGTCTGTCCCTCAGAGAATGCAGACCAACCCTAAAGCAGAACATCTCCATTTCTAGTCTTGACAGCAGGGGCGACATTCTTTTTCAACAAGAGCTCCTGTTGCATTCTGATGGGTTTTTTGATAATTGATCACTATTGCCCTTGTGGGTGAGGTATACTCCCAAACCTCTTTTGTGATCTCAACACTGGGTAACACTTTCTTATATCTTCTTCCTGGTGGGACAGCAACCCATCCCTCAGCCCCAAACCTTACCACGAAGGACACCACAGCTTGTTCTTTATAGCCTGAAAGTCTGAAGTCTTGACAGATCTTGAGACAGTTCTCTAACATCTCAACAATAAAGGACTAACCTGTTAACGAAAGTTAATGATTTGGAAAAAAGAATAGTTAAAGCATCACGAGGAATCAAGACAAGAAAGCTATCATGCCCTTTTATCAGGTGCAAAGTCAGATGTGTGATGTTTGTTTTGTTCTTAGCAAGAAACGTCTGACTCAGCCTGATGTTAAACCACAGCAAAAGAGCGCTAAGCTAGATTAATGCTACCCGTGTCAGTCAGTGCACATTGGGAGGAGAAGACTGAACTTGAAACCAGACTCGATTTCTTTACAGCAGATGCCCTACTTTGGCACATGTCTTACTTTGACCACACTCCGCAGGGCCAGAGCCTGTGGAAAAAAGGAAAAGAGGGGCCGTCCTGATCTCGGGTCCGAGCCTGATTCGTGTCACTAGCCGACTGTGACTGCTCAAACGGAAATGCACGACTGGCTGAGCGCCATTGACAGAAGGACAGGGCCTCTCAGGTCTTGGTCAGACACTGACTGCTATGGCCTTCTGTCCTCCTGCAGGCATGCAGTGCTCTCAGCAAGAGACACGCCTCTACCCCAATCGGAGTTGAGCCTCCAGCATGGGGGGCGGTGCTGCCTGGCTCTTCCTGGCAGACGATTGGCTCGCAGCTGGGCAGGTCAGTGGATTGTGGCCTGCGCATCCTCTTGCTCACGCGCATGTGCTCTCGGGGCGTCACAGCTGCAACACAATTCCAAACCCAGAGGGTAGGAATAAGAATGACAGGGAATTGTACATTTCAAAGAAAAAGAAGGGAACATCAGCACGTTTATCATCTGTGTTCCCCGTCAGGCCGCCGCAGGGCATGTAGCCACACAGGCTCACGCCAGGTCTCCCTCTAGTTCTTGGGGCAGAAACAGAGAAGTTAGAGAGTTTAAACTTGTCAGAATCCAGAGAGGATGGCTTAAGCCTGGGATATTGCTGGGACAATGGTCAGACATAAGAAACAGCAATCTGTACCTTATAGGAGTTTCTCTGCTGCTCCTGTTGAACACCTCACCTCTACTGCGGCGCTTCCTGTTGTGGGCTGCTGGTGATGGGAGGCGGGGGGGGGTTTGTGTAACCACAAGGAGAGTTGGTTTCCACGTACACCTCCTGCATTGCTGTACAGCTGCAGAGCCGTCCTTGTTATTACGTGTTGTGACAGTGTGGGAGTGGGCGGAGCCGCGGCCAGCACCGGTAAAACATCCACATCCACGTGAGGTTAGCAGGGACCACAAATAACACAAAAAATGGTGTGAAAGATGAAACAAAAAGCAAATAGGAAAATGTGCCGCTGTGCATCGCGACCTCCAGGCTGGGCCTATTGAACTGGGTCCAGCCTGGGAAAAAACAGTGGCGACCAGACTGGACTGACCCTGTTTAGCGGGGTCCAGTCTGGCGGAGGGAGGCAGAACTGAAATAAAAACTCAGTGTGTGCCTGCCCCGGAGAAAATATGGGATGGGACAGGCAAAAAAAAAAGAGAAAAGAAAAGGAAAAATAACGCCTTCCGCGGGTACAATCCCCCCCAGGACTGCCGGTGAAAAGATACTCCCCTTCCGGGGGCGGTCCTGCTCGTCCCTTTGCGGGGAGTCCAGTGTGCCTTTATGGGACCTGCACAGCTGTGGCTCATCTTCTAGGAGCCCGGACAGCTGGGACTACGAAGGAGAGGCGTCGCCCTTCCTCCAGGGCTCCGCCTCCACACAGTGCGCACACACACACCGCACACACAGGTAAAACTGCGATACAACAACCAAGCCAGCCACCCAGTGCACCTGGAGCAATCCCATGCTGACACAGAGAAAACAGGCAAACTGGGTGAAAAGGGAGCCCCAGTCCAGAAATGATCCCAGGACCAGTGACCCTCACCACCACACCACTGACCCACCTATTAGTACCCATTCCTGAAATAATAAGATCACGGACGCTTATCTTTTCAGGCCACAGAAACGTTGTTGTGTGACGCTGCTGTTAACAGAAAGTGAGTTTTTTTTTGATAGAAGCATCGAGGGGAAAGATCTCTTTCAGGAATTGAGAGAAGCAAGTGGGAACTGAAATTGACTTTCTGGGGCCTGATGAGCATGGGGACCGTAATGAAAGTTGCACAGGAAGCTGAGCTCCCAGGACACTTTTCACCCAAATCTGGACCCATTTCTCTGGCTGTGCATCATCCGTTCGATCCCTCTTGTGGATTGTTTTCTGATTGGGAGAAGCTGTGACGGGTGGGTGTAGGGCCTGGACAGAAATGAATCTTTCCTGCTTTCTCACAGACATCTAAGATGTTGCCATGAGTCATTGTGACCCTGTCAGTGGTTTGAGGGTTCTCTGTGTATGAACACTGTGTGCTTTGTGAACACCTGCCCCCGCCAACCAACACCAGCGCTGCAGCCTCCTTGAACTGAAACAGTGCTGACAGTTTCCAGTCTTGCAACTTTGTTCTTTTTGTTTTCGCGTTGGAGTTGGTATAAAGTGGGTTTGCTTCTGTTAGACAGCTGCATGTCTCAATTTTCCACACAGCAGCTGACACAAACTTCATGGTGTAGAGACAAGTGTGGAAATAAACAGGTCCTTCCTGCAGTCCCTTAAAAAAGGGGGGGGGAATCCCTCAAGAAACGCACATCTCACACATCTGCTTGCTCAGAGAAAACAAACATTTTCTTTTCAAGCCACCGGCTTCGTGCACTGTCCTTTTTGTAAAGCATTTACGCTAGTTGGAGTTTTTCTGTGTTAAGTCTTTCAGTTAATATCTTGTGATTCATTTTCTGATATTTTCCAATTTGTTGTTACTCACTAATTTCTGACCTCATTTGAGATTTGATTGTATTGGTTTCTATTTTTAATAATACAATTTTAAATGGATTTCGGAAAGGAAACATTTGTACCTTGGTTGCACAGTTTACAGTAGGTGACTACAGGTGCAATATGGGTTTATTAAATGTCTTTATGCTAGTGTTCTGTTAGTCGTGAAAAGGGGCTCTGCTTTTCTGTGGCAAGCTTGCAGCACACTGGTTTGTGTCAGTGTGAGCAATGTTCTGCTCCTTCTGTAGATGTCAATAACAGTGACTCTTTCACTCTCACCCTGCATGAAAGTGACTGAATGCTCATTTCTTCCAATGCAGCACTCACAGTTGCTCCAGGTCCTGCTTTAGATGTCTTTGCCAATGATCACAAATGCCAACAGGTGATTTCTGGATTGTTGGATGTCAGATAATGCAGGTAAAGTTTGCAGTAATGACTGTAATACCCCTGCTGTGTCATGTTACAGGTGCACAGCTGAGCTGAAGGTTGTATTTGTAGAAGATCGGTTTTGTGTTTGCATTCTATTTCGAGACGGGTGTGAATTTCCTTTGCAAAATTCAACCCTCAGGAACAGCATGTCTAGTCAAAATTTCAGTGCAGTTGTGTTTCCTCAATGACATAACAACTATCTAATTACTAAATTTAAAATAGCCACCATAAAACAGTACAGACTTTGACTTTTACTAAGTTGGTACTAGGATAGTAATTAATGCATGTAGTTAATATGGCATTGTAAAATGAAGGGTTTTTTGAGTCAATGGCATACTTAGTCCTTTATAGGGCGGAGCGGTGGCTTAGGATCTGCGCCTGTGACTGGAAGGTTGCCAGTTCAAATCCCGCGGCTGGCAGAGGAATCCTACTCCGTTGGGCCCCTGAGCAAGGCCCTTAACCCTAACTGCTCTAGGGGTGCCGTACAATGGCTGACCCTGCGCTCTGACCCCAAGCTTCTCTTCCTGTCTGTGTGTCTGTGTCTCCATGGAGAAAAAGCTGGGTTATGCGAAAAGATGAATTCCTAATGCAAGAAATTGTATAGGGCTAATAAAGAAACATTAATGTTTTGTCCTCTCACAACTTAGCACCAATTTCTTATTCTTTCTTGGTACCTCAGATTTCTTAAGAAAGAGACTTGTTTCGGCCAGTTTTTCTTTTAAAAAATAATTTTATTGCAAACACTTAGTGTGTCAAGTAGCACATTTCTGTGATAGCTTACACAGGGCACCGCGGTGTCTCTCTCCTTGTCTGTCAGCTGGCTGTAGACAAGGAGACACTGGGAAGTCAAAGAAAAGCAGCTTCTAACTATGAGAAACAATCTGCACACAAAGCATCTACTGTGGCTCCGAGCTTCACACATGGGAGTTATGGGTAGGCCGAAATTAGGCCTTGACTAGTTAAAACTTCAACTCGTCTAGCAGTGGATAACTACAAATCCCAGAATCTAGGCTCCCATTCCACAGAAAAAGGAAGCCTCAAACACACTGAACCAAATTCAGGGACCTGGTTTGTAGTTAGCAAGTAGCAGAAATTCAGATTTAATCTCACAGTTTGTTTGCTTCTGTTCCTATTCAAAGTTCTGAAATGGAAATAAATAGATAGTTGCAAGATGTAGTATTAGGTTTTGTAAGCCAAACATAATGCAAACCAACTTAAATAGATATATAGCACATTTATACATTTGTATCTCAAAGCGCATGATAAACATACATAGCTTGTTTTCAGTGTTGATTAACAAAGAAACCAACATTGAATATCTCACAGTTTTGCAGCAATGTTTTTTACTTTGCTAATTTTCTTTATAACATTGGCTCAGATGAAAATAATATCTTTCAGAATTTATATTTTCTAGTAGTAGCCCCCAGTTTCAAGCAGATTACTACCAAACTAGTGGTTGATGTCAGATTTCCATTAGTTACGTAGCATAAAGTCCCCGGTCAGGGGATGGTTCACTATCCAACAATGGGTTTGCATTCAGTGGTTTGGGCTGAAGGTTTGATTTCATCTGTGCTCATGTGAAGTTCAGCTGAATAAGTCTGTGCTCCTGTCATCGGCCAGGGAAATGCGTGTCCTTGTGATATGTTCTATTCCTGAGTCTGTGTCTGATCCACAGTGATACAGGCTGTTTTGGCAGTGTGGAGATTGTGTGCACAAGTGTGAGGTGGAGCAGTCTGGGGCATGAATCTTGCGGATCCAGTGTTCAGTCCACACCACATGTTCTGAAATTCGGTCAGATTTGAATTTGAATTTGTCTGAAAGGTAGACAGTGTGTTTCTTCTCCAGATTGCTGTGTGGGCTAATCTTCCAGGAAGTGACTCCAGAAAAACAGGATCAGAAGTCGTTGTTTGTCTGCATTGCAGATAAGGGTGTGGTTTCCTTAAGTAATCATGATCAGGCTGAAACGCAACACGTCTCACAAGGTTCCAGCTCATGGGTGATATGAAAAAGTCCAGTCCTGAAGAGTCATGAGCTGAAGTGCTGAGCTGATGAAAACAAGCCTTTTATCTCTTCCTCCGATCATAGAGCCAGACATCAACAGTCTCTCGCCACTGAAGGGTTGTAGAAGATGAATTTACTTCCAAGTTGTCATTCATTTTATTATTTTCCTTTCTGATGTTACTGCAGAGACACTGCATGGTACAATACTGTTTGCTCTTGGTTGTAGAAAAAATATATATACTGCTGTAAAGGTGAAGCACAGAGGCCTCTGTCTCAGCCAGTGGAACCAGTAAAGGTGTCCCTCTGGCCCAGACATTGCCATGGAGTTCAAGAGGAGGTCAAACTCTAATGTCCCACTTCAGTTCCCCTGCATGTAACTGCTCCCTGGTTGCACATGGCTGCACAGGCTCTGTTTGCCTCTTTTCGAAAAGCCCTCCCTCCAGCCCAACTTCACCCTTGCAGCTGCCTCCCTGGTTCATTCCTTATAACTGAGGGGCTTGTCACAGCTGTCGTTTCCTCAGCCAGGCAAAGTAACGGCGAAGTGGCAAGTACACCTATCCCTTTATATTCTTTGGCTCATTTCATCACTATTAGAATTTGACCAAACTTATGAGATACTAATAAGTGTTTGAAAAAACATCACGTGTACAGTAAGGCTATCCAGCTTGATCTGGCAATTTGAATTTCTCATTTTACAAGTCAAACGTTTCGTGGGTGTAGCTTCCTCCTCCAACTGATTGACAAGTAAAGCTGCCAGTGGGCAGATTCTGCCTTCATGGCAGTATTTCTGGTTTTATCCTGACGTGCTTTCCCGTGCCATAATGCTACTGCAGAAGATTCACTTCCGCCGAATTTTTTAGTTGCTTCTGTTTTTGTTCTGTGCTTCTGCTGGAATAAGCTGGCGGTTGTCTCACCTCACCTGGAGGTGCTGTTTCCCCTCACCACTGCCGGAAGGTACTGTAGCTTCACCGTCCGGCGTTCTTAACAGAAAGGCAGGCCGGAGAGTGAGCAGTGCTCCTGCCCGGACTCGGATCCTCATCCACGCTGGGCTCCGGTCTCGGAGTCAGAGTTACAGTACACCTCACTCCGCTGTCTGGGTAACGTCTGGAGTAGGCCATTCTTCAGAGCGCTCTTCTCTCCCTTGGGGGAGGAGGGCGCCTCGGAGGTGGGGGGGGAGGGGGGAGCACAGATATGATCAGCTGGAGCCCCTCCCTCCCGCCTCCCTAGTCTCGGAAAGAGGAGGCGCTCTCCCGGCTCATGAGGCGGCCCCGGATGACGGAGCTGCCGTGCCGAGAGAGCTGCTGGCGGAACTCGGTGGTGAGGAAGTAGTAGATGAAGGGGTTGAGGCAGCAGTTGAGGCTGGCCAGGCAGAGGGAGATGGGGTGGAACCTGCGGACGGCGTAGCGGAGGGGGCAGTAGGTGATGATGTCCTGCCCCGACATCAGGTAGAACAGGAAGTTGACGTGGTAGGGCGCGAAGCAGAGCAGGAAGACGACGGTGCACATGAGCACCAGGCGCAGGGCCCTGCGCTTGTCGTTGGCGTCCTGCAGCATGGTGCCCGTCTCCGTCCGCCGCAGGGAGCGCATGATCCGCCAGGTGCAGGTGGCGATCACCGCCAGCGGGATGACGAAGCCGCACAGCTCGGCGAAGGTCATCATGGTGACGGAGAGGCGCAGGTCCAGCTTGCGGGTGGGCAGGTCCTTGAAGCAGCCGCTGCTGTTCTGGCCCGCGCTGCTCCTCATCAGGATGAAGGGCGAGCAGCAGGCCCCCACCACCAGCCACACCAGCAGGCTGATCCGCACGTCGTAGCGCCGCTTCCAATCCTTGGCGCAGAAGGGTTTCATGAGGAAGATGCAGCGCTGGAGGCTGATGCACATGAGGAAGGCGATGCTGGCGTACATGTTGAGGTACTTCAGGTAGAAGCACAGCAGGCACATGGCCTTGCCGAAGGGCCAGGTGTGGTTGACGTAGTAGTAGATGCGGAGGGGCAGCGACAGCACGTGGGCAAGGTCGGCCACTGCCAGGTTGATCATGAAGATGACCGCTTTGGTCTTCTTGCTGGCAAAGACACAAAAGACAAACAATGCGTTTAGCAGACTGTAGCGTGCGCGTATTTCACCTTGGTGAGAGTCGGCCTGCAGCTAGTGCTGAAGTCTTGAAAGGGGGAAGAAGAGCCAACATCTTTGATAACTCATTTCCAGTTTCCTAACACTTCCATGCATCGTGCTGCAGTGCACAATCAGCAGGCAGAGGGATAATACCAAAGGAACTGACTGCTTCGTAACCCAGATGAACTACCCTACAGCCACACCCCCCTCCCCCCTCCCTTGGGAAATGGACTAGTCCGGGCTCTGCGTGGTCCGGGGGTCAGAGGTCACACACGAGGGCCCCGTACCTGATGAAGCGACACAGGATAAACAGCCCCAGGCTGTTGCCCAGCAGCCCCGGGATGAAGATGACCAGGTAGAAGACAGTGTAGAGGATGTAGATGCTTTCATCCCAGCTGCTGTTCTCTGGGCAGGTGCTGTTGCAGGTGACGTTGCTTCCTCGGCACACGGCGGCTGCTGTAGGGGGAGTCATTCTGACTTCGCCGCTTCATTTACTGTGGATGTCTCCTCCAGAAATAAGACTCGAGGCCACCGGGGGTCTGAAACTGAATAGCAAGGAAGATGAAGGTTGTTTTGCTGTGATGGAAGTGACAGAGAATGTCCTTGGAGCTGGGTTAGGGCACAATCTCTTTCCATTGCTGTTTCTCCCAGGGAGAGAATTCAGTAAGGACACCAGCACTGCACGTGAGCACCGCTCCCTGCCCTCCTGCCCGATCTCGTCAGCTCTCAGGAGGTAAGCCAGGCTGGAAAACCGAATTACTGCTCTAAATGGTGGTTGCTGCTCGCCCAGTAGGTAGCGATCTCCCCCCCCCCCCCTCCAGAATCAGATGGTCTAAAAAAGCACTGCTGCCCCATTGAGGCGATCAGGGCCATGTTCAGGAGGAACGGTCCTTTGGAAGAGGCATTAACACAAAGTCCAGACTGTCAGGTCATTAAAGATCCTACATCAGTGTTCATCAGAGTAGGGGTGTCATCCCCGGTGTCCTGGATAAATTCCACTCTGGGCTGGCACAGTCTCCCCTCCCTGCAGTCCCACCCTAATACAGCTGGTGCAGCGATTCCCCCTTCACCTGCTCTGCACTGGGACTCCATCCCAGGTGGCGCAACACTGCAGTGGAGAGTGAGGTGGGTCCCCTTCAGTGTGTAAAGCAGGTGGGACGCTTTGTAAAGACACCTTTTAATACCAGCAATTATTCATGACGATTATCTGGTTGTCCATAAAAACAGAACACTGGGACCCCTTGCCAGATTGTTCCATTTTCTAAACTCCCAGGGAGTTCAACACTTGCTCAGCTCGTGACAGGGAAAGAGAAAGCTGGGCGTTTCCTGTCTGTAGCCGGCACACTTGGTAAATAACGACCCTGCTCAAGTAGGAGACACGTTTGATTCACTCAGGGAGCCAGGAGAGGAAGGAAATAATCAGAGTTAGCACTGCCCTTGCTCCTATCAGTGAGTGTGTTAGGGCTTTAGCCAACAAAGGTGATAGGATTCTTCTGCCGTTTGCTTTCTTAAATTCAAGAATTAAAAGATTGCATCAGTCTATTTCCCGATAAGCGTTAGCACACTTTTTATAGGCTTCGTTTTTGAGAACTCCTGAGCTGGGCATATGCACTTCCTTGTGATACAATTAGTATTTCCTGTCTTCTCTCGGGGGAGTGAGGGAGGGCTTAAACTGTTTCGCTAAAGGGTACATGACTGTGTTGTACACTGCCGCCTCAGTTCCAGGTTTCAAGCGGCATTTAGAGAGGAGATGAACAACAGGGCATAAACAGAGCGTTTGTTGTGATCTGCCTCTTCGATGGCCATTCCTAGACCCGATTAGGCTGTGCCGTATCGTTGTGTCGAGGTGCTTGTCTGCAAGATCATCTCCGGCCCGTTCGAGTCCCAGGCAAATACTGATCTCAACAGCTGCGTCAGTCCGGATATCACCAAGTTCTGTGGCTATTTAAGACACTAACGTGTCTTTATTTAGCCGTCTAAAAAAATAAATGTCCACACTCTAGATTTAAAAAAAAAATCATGTGCGTTTTGCACACGTACCAAAATCGTAAATTATACCTCAGTGTGTGTAATCATATGAACCTGCACAGACCGCCCGGTCACAAGTTACTAATAAATTCAAGCCTACAAAGCACAGACGGTTTTCTTAACTTCCGCTGCGCCGGTATTGACAAGTTCCTGGAATTCAACTGACTTCGGCGGAGACGAGATTTGAGAAGCGCCGACTCCCTTCCTGTGCGAGTGCAGGGCGTGCTTACACATGTCGCGGGGGTTTCGGGGGGCTGTTGGTGAATGGCTCGCCGCTCATACAGATCTGGGTGCCGGGAGCCCTGGTGGTCTGGCATGTCTCTGTGCCAATCCAAGCTCTTCGTCTTTGCAACTGACTCACAGCGCCACGGTTTAGTTAACCCAGTCAAAAAAAAAAAAAACTATTTTGATGATCTAAGACCTAAAAACGAACTACAGTGGAAATGCTATTGCATGTGGGTACGAAGCCAGGCTTTGTACTTTGTTTGCCCACGGCGGGAATTGGTAACAGGTTAGTTTGTGGGATTGACCCTGCGGCGTGTCTGTAATCTGGAAGCAAACAGCAGGATGAACATCCCAACTGCCAGAACCACGTGAATGTACGCTTCGCAACTGTCGGGCTCCCGTGACTTGCTTTTTTCGAGCGAGGGCACTTCACTGAAGCTGCTCGTACAGTTCTTGTAACCTGCACACGGGGATTCACGTGAACTCGATGTTTATCAGTTCTTTCTGTTCTGCTTATGAATATTAAAATAAAAAAGAAAACTTTGAAGCTAACTAAGCGGGGAGTTCACAGCGGATCCCGGTCAAAGATTAGTCCGGGTCAGGCACTGTGCCTCAGAGACTGTAAAATCTCCGGGCACTGTCCTGACCCAAAACCCAACCAGCTGTCCCGGGCCCACTCTCTGATGTCCTGCTTCGCAATCGGACCTTGTTGGTCGATCTGCTCGGATCCCTTGAACTGAGAGGCGTGACTGCTGAAGTGTGAGGCTTTGAAAAGCAGCAAGCATGCGTTTAGGGGGGGAAAAGAACCAATTCGGATAAATAATTTCTTTCACGGTTACGTCTGTGCTGCAGATGTTTATCAGCTCTGTGAATGGTGAACTTGCAAGCCTCTGTGCAAAATTCGATGAAGCTCTAGCAGAAACGAAAGCGTAGGCACTGCGCGACGTACTGAGTAAAAAGCAATTAAAATATTAAAAACACGGCTTAATACGGCCAAACTAGCCGGTATTAAATAAGAACTATCCGAACTAGGAATGGCGCTATATATTTATATTATTATAGATTATTATATTTCTACCTGCATTACATTCTAAGAAACTGAAACTCTGTACACAAATCTAAGTTATACAAGTGTGTGTGTGCACAGCCCAGGGAAACAGAAAATGTATTTTGTTAGAAGCCGATGTACTGTAACTGCACGAGGTGACGTTGTTATCGCACCATGCAGGAAGTGGGCTACCTTTGTACACTCCGTTACAAGGAGCAGAAGGTCTTTTAGTAGATTGTTGGCTATGGTAAAATTCAAACACCTCTCACGTCTTCAAATAGTGCTTGGCCCTCTCCCCATTATTAAATGAATAGTAAATCCATTCTCCTTCATCGGCTGCGCTGAGGTGATAACAAAGCAGCTGGGTGAGGGGTCTTCGGGGCTTTGTAACTGACACACATTTGTTTATTGTTTGTCACACTGCGGAAACACGTATCTAGGCATCTGCGTTTATTAGTAAAACCGAGAACCCCGTCACAGGGCGGTCATGTCCAAAATGGGTTCACTCCCTGCTGTGCGGCGGGCATGCTGCTTTCGAACCGGTGGTCCCTGTTTGTCCTGCAAAAAAAACCTTTGCAAGAGGCTGCTCTCACGGCGAATAACGGATCAGAGCCGGAATTTCCCATCCTGCCACCCAGACGGCCACGATCCGATTGCACGTGTCTGTAGAGGCGACGGGGATTATCTCTGACGTTGTCATCTACTTTTCAACACGATTGATGGTCTCCGTTGCTTTCTCCGAGTTTTCATTTTTTCTTTTTTATTTCCTCTTGATGCATCTCCAGACGGAGTTGCACCAGAGCCGGGGGCTGACGTGGATATACCCCTGCGCTCAATTTCGACAGCTCTCCCGAAAGGATACGGTGCGAGGAACTGCAACACCGTCTTGTGCAGACCCCCCTCAGAGGGGTACAGTCAACTCTGAAAGATCTATTCTGTACTTCACGACACGTGATGAAAACCACACTCTCTGTGGCTGAGCGAGCCGCACGAAGCTGTCAGCTCTAGAGATTCATTTTGCAAAACCGAGCAACACGGGCAAAAAAAAAAAAAATACCCACACAGTTACGTACAGGTCAGCGTGTGACTCAAGCGTTTCACATGAAATCAAAACACGAGGCGCTGTTTGTGAAAGTTTTCTTTGAATTCCTGTTTTTGTATATACAGTATATATATACACTTGTATTTTTCAGTTATGCAGAGCTAACAGCTTGGCGGCTAACAGTTTTCAGAGATGATGACATGCACGGTGCCTTTGTTGTGTATTGTACAGAGTTGTGCATATTTCTGTGCTCCTCCGTGTTCCCGTCAGACCTGGCCCAAATTCTTTTAAAATATCACGGCCAGTTCATCATAAAAGTTTGATCCAAAGTGATTAACAGGAGCTGGCTCTGCTTCATATCTACACACAGAAAACAAAGGTCCTCGCAGATGAGCTGATGTGCTCTGCCATCAGCTTCACTCGCGGCCAGTACCTGCTGTACCCTCTGAAGGTTGCCGTGGGCCAGAGGCTGACCTGGCAGGCACAGGGTTCAAAGAGGAACCACCCCCAGGAAAGGAATGGCAGGGCCGTTCATAGACCCAGTCAAACTGGATGGTCTGTCCAAAATAGAAGGAAATAGAAGACGATAGAAAGGAAAATAGAAAATAGAAGGGCAAACCCAAGTGGATATGGGGAGACCATACACACTCCACACAGAAGGCACCCCTTGCCAGGACCCGTGTGCTGTGAGGCAGCAGGGCTAGCCACCAAGACCAGTCTATCACTGGATATATGCAAGATCCAACAGGCACAAACCGATTAGTTGTCCATTAAAACTTGTTGTCTTATTTTACATAAGAATGTTTATTAATATGGACTTCTGCTTACAATCTTATTATCATCATTGTCGTTTTTTTTTTTCCCCTAGGAAAATCTCTCGCACATGGACATGTGCATTAAGCACAAGCGCAGGGGATGTTTTTTTTTGTGTGTGCGTGTCTGCCTGATGACTGTTGGAAGCCCCTACAAGTGAATTCAAGCTCATTCAATCTTCAGAGGCGTGACATTTGCTACAGGATGTCCTTTAGTTAACGTAACGCCTACTAAAGTCCACTGCGCTGAGGCAGGGACCATGCTTTGCTGTCAGGTTGCTAGGCAGTGTAAAAATCTTGCGGTCAGCCGTGTTGTGTTGTGTGGCAGTGTACCTCAGAAGCAACGCATTGAGCTTCTTGCTTATCGTGGCGCAGCCAAGCCAGATCTCCTTTCTGCAGCAATCACGTTGAGTAGACAAGGCGTGACGTGGGAGTCCCAGCATATTTCAGAGACCTGGGATCAGAAACATCCTGAACTGATGACACGACCCTCATCTTTAGAGTGTTGTACATCTGCCCTGGGCCCATTGTCAAGCTGTGCGTCTTTGCTATTGGTCCGAGACACGGGATCCCAGTCAGTTCCAATTCTGTTGGCAGTGCTTAACCATTTCACCTGTCTTGCTCCAGATCTGCTGATGGTGCTCTACACAATTCCTTGGTAGAGTAGAGGCAACAGGTGGCTGACAGGGCTGTTCTGCTCCCCCTCTCACCCAATGTCTACCACTCGTCTCCCGCTGCAGAAAGGTCAGTGGTTTGGTGGTCTTCTCTTGCAAACCGAAAGCATCAGCCTTCCACATGTGTTGTTGTGTACATGCGGTACACTCCTGCACGCAAATATGGCTGCACACCCTAAGAGTCAAGTCAGGTTTCAGCTGCAGGCTGCGGGACTACCGTTTTGCTTGCAACTTTGTCATAAAGGAATGGACTTGCACATTTGTACTATATCGTTCACATTCTGAAGTAATGTACCGCTTTCAACCTGAATTGCACCATATGATACAATCCGAAACCGATGAAACGATGGCTCTAAAATGTGTAACTAAACACTATTTTTTTTAGACCTGTCGATACAGTTGTATTGGATAGGTTGATCAATAAAGACCACGTATTTAGCAGAATGAGGAACCACACATAAATTATTCTTAATATCAACACATATTGTAGTCATACTGTCTTGCAGTTTTTCAAAGGGTTTTGCAATATTGAATTGAACAATTTCACACAATCATTCTTCCTCTCACCATTGAATCATGAACTAGCACTGGGGTTTGGGAAAGACTTGCAAACAATCTTTTTCATCCTAACAAAACTGTTTGAGCAGCTCTAGTTTTTATCTTCTCTGGGAAGAGTCCTGCAGCTTTGTGGTGAATCGCAGAACAGCCCCTGATTTCTACGGTACAAAGGATCTCTTCTGCATAGACCTTGATGTAGAGGTGACTCCCATTGATGGCAGTGTATAAAGCCCCATAAACCTCCATAAAGCCCAAACTACCGCAGCAATATCGGTGCACCCCTAAACCATCCCAGCAATTTATTTACTCAAGTGTGGGCAAGTTTATGATTGATAGTTTAATTGTTTTACATACTGTTTTCTGCACAATGTGCTACACTAAATGCATCTAGGTGAGGTCTGCAGGGTGAGGGAGCTCACCGCTTCCTCGTCCTACCGACAGTGAACAAGCGAGTCCGAAAGGCTCACCCGGCACAGACTCTCAAGTATGGAAATATTTGCGTGCCTTACCTTTCTTCTCTGCGAGCACAATGTCGCTGTCCTCTTTGGAGAGAGACCCAGTTTTCAGTGCGCAAAGAGGAAGTGCACTGCTAATTATCTAAAGCCGTCTCCCCACTCTCCCCTCCCTCCTTCCCCTTAGCCACCACGAGTGACGCTGTTGGTGGCGTCAGCCTCCTAGCAGCAGATAAACACAAATGCATCAACATGTGCAAAAGTGAGAGGAGTAGGTACCTGCTAGAGAGCAGAAGCCCGCTTTTTTTTTTTTTTGGTGTTGCTATTTTTAGCAATGCAAGAAAAATGACATCGCACCTCCAAACCCGTTTTGTCAGTTGTTAAAACTGAGTTAACCAGACCAGCGCTGAAATTCATTTTCATTTTCATAGCCCTCCTTTTTTCATGTAAAGCTGAGTCCTAATAGCAGTATTTCACCCCTTGTCTGTACAGTCCCCAGACCATTTCTGAGCCTCTGGCATTCCTGTGCCTGCAATCCCATCGTCTACTTTTCTGATTTATCCTCCTGCTCCGAGTATGAGGCTGCTGCTCTCTCCAGAAATTCCCTCTGTTCCCGCAGTGCAGCACAGAGATTTACGCCTGGGGTCCTAAGAGCAAGCGTGAGTGCATGAACCAGGCTCTGGTCAGCCTAAGAGATTGTGAGCAGGAGCAGCTAATCTGGAGGAATCCCTAGGTTTCTGAGTCTGCAGCAGCACCTCTGCATCAAGCGCAACAAATACATGCTCAACAACGAAAAGTTATTGGAACTCCAAATTTAACTTGTGGGGTTTTATGCAAGGACGTGTGTAGCTGAACTGATAGCATTTTGCCATGGAAAGATTTGACTTAGGTTTTCTTTTTCTTCAGAGATAAAAAAGAAAGAGACAGTATTGCCTGATTTAAAAAAGACAGCAGGACCCACAGCACCTCCGTTTTTGTGTTTGGTGATATTATTCCAGGCGTTCAGAAGCATAAGAACACAAAGGCAGATGTCTCAGACTAAGCTCAGACGAAACTCTCTTTCTTGTTTAGTAAACAAATAACAATTCTAACTGAACCCACGCAGTGTTTCCTAGTGGTGGCAGACAGACAACAGCTATGCGGTCAATATCACACGAAAACTTCACCAGACTGCCACACTGCAGACAGACCTGCAGGGCAGCATTCACAGCGCTCTGCAGACACATCGCCTACCTTTCTTGTCTTCTGTGCCAGGGCCCTTGCAAGAGAGGACCAGCTACAATAGCTGTGTTGTGGTGGCTGGAAATGAATGTGATCCTTATCTCCTGTGGTGAGCAACAGTTCTGAATGCACCAGCACTATGAGTTAGTTGTCTGTAGCCAACTGTGGATTAGATAGTACAGTCAACAACTTCCCATTCTGGTGGCGTGTCACTTCCCTCAATCAGACACACCATGGCTGGAGGTGTTATTCCTGTTCAAGTCTCTGTGGATAAAAATACAGGAGTTATGCAAACAATCAGAGAGAGCTACGCCTATTCCCAGCACCCAGATGCTTGTGAGGCCACAGGTATCAAGGTCAGATTTTATTACCTGTTTCTCCGAATGTAGCAAGTGCTGGAGGGCCATTTTCATGGGCAAACACACACTAACAGACATGGTCCCACACACGTGCAATCTCACATACACGCATACTAATATGCGCATGCTCGGACATGGTTTCCACACAAACAGACAAGGTTCTGCACACATATTCAATCTCACACACATATGCTAATAATCACTTGTGCACACACATGCACTCTCACAGACGCGTACAATATCGCACACATGTACGCTCACACGCATACTCAAGCACAAATACACACAGTCACACACAGTCTCGCATACACACACACACACAAGTGTTGTACGGGTTGTTTTGTGACCGTTTTTCATAAAAAAAAACATCTGTAACTGAAATTAGCCGTGTGGGGCCAAGATTGAGGTGGCGGCCAGGAAACGGGAAATTACACAATCAACAATTGGCACATTGGCACTTAAAATGCAAAAACCTGTAGATCTTGTATTGCGTAACTTTGAATTCAATTAATAACCATGCATGATCTGCACAAATATGAAATATAGTACATGGAAATGTGTAGTCTGAAGAAGAATACATTTGTCTTCTGTCCTCCCAGGAGTTTGTTCCCCAGGCTCTGTCTGTCTTCAGCAAACTTGGCTCTACGTCAAGCACAGCGGCCCTTCACATTGTTCCACAGCTGATCTCCTTTGTTACATTTCATCCACAGACTGGTTTCAGGGGAACGGGCTGACAAAGACAAAGACAAGATCCAGTCTTCCCCCTGCTTCCTTCCCACTGTATCAAAATATAAAGCTGGTTCCTTCGACTTGTATATCTGGGCCATTAGCCATGCTGGCTACACTTTGGGCTTCATTATTGTCAGTTAATTGCCCACAGATTTGCAATTCAGTCAAATCAAGGCTTTGTCCTGGTATTTAAGGCAATACATGGGCAATATGTGAATAAATAGTACATTTAATTCATGTGTAATATATATATAAGAGTTGTAAATGAAGACACATGACAGGCAGAACTGAAGAGGTGGTAGTTATGAGTTGTTTTCCTTAAAAAGAAATGTAAGTCAGAGTCAGATTAATGTTCTTTCTTGTCTACCACAATGCATTGTCAAATCATGTAAATGTAAAACAGCAGATCAGAGGGAAGTGATGATTGGGGCGTGGAACTACGATGGTACTAGGACAGTCAGTCACAGTGCCCATCGTAACCCTCTGAGCCCTGTCTTTATGCTTGTGGTGATGCCAGGGTGGTGTATTGGTCACTGAGCTGCACCTGCCCCTTAGAGAGAGGGCAGGGCCAGCTCACCTGGTGCACCTGGGCTGTAGGGCACACCCAGAGAGCAAGGCAGGTGTCTCTGTAGCAGCTGCTTCAGAGGAACTCCTTACCCCTTCTTCTGTGCTCTAATGAAGTTCCACAGGTTTTTTTTACAATTGCAAATTATGGATTTTGATAAGGAAAAGGCATGTAATTCTATATTTAAAATTTCAGAAAATACAGAAGACACCGTGGTGTAGGAGGTGCCATCCTCTTTATTAGACATTAACCTTCTTACATGTCACATCAGTCCTAATCAGTCACTAGAGGTCACATGGCACAGCTGGGAAGACTAGGTTTGTTAACTTCACAGGTTAAATCCTATTCTGAGTCCTGGATTTCTCACTTCTCCACCTGATCTGCTGTGTAGTTTGGCTGCTAGCTCAGAATGTCTGCTCTGCATCATCCTGTTCTTCTGCAGTGGATAAACTTCTCATTTAGATGTAAATTAGCTGTGCTGTCACTCCAGTGGATAAAAGATTGCACTTTTCAAAATCCCCGTCCTTTAGCATCGAGGGTCAATTTGGTGAGCGCAGCATGGGCGTGTGAGGGCTCTCGTGGTTGACCATCTGCATGACAGGCAGCTGGTTCAGGCGACAGATAACCTCATTTGCAGAGTGAGCACTGCTGCAGACAGACAAAGGCCTGCTCTGGTCTGGGGGGGGGGGGGATTTCTTCTTCAATTCCGCATTTGCTGACAGCGACTGAGGTATGGCATGATCCAATAGACTGTCCCCCTTTCAGCGCTGTGTCAACTCAAAACCTCTTTCTACAGAGGGCTGAAAAAATCCTGTCTGTCCGATGAGCAAATCTTCCTCTCAGGCCTCTCGTCCTGTGGCGATGAGTTCAGAAATATTTTGAATATGAATGTGATGCAACACTGAGCGAGAAATGGAACAGAAACCAGTCCTGTAATCTCTGGTAGCTTGGCCTTGTGAAATTGGGTTGCCTGGCTCCACATTCATGCAGGGGCTTGATAATCTCACCACAGGCATGGGCATGCTCGTATTAAGTTGGCACAGTTCTATGCTGTTATGGACACATGTAAGAGGTGTGTGTGGGGCCAGCAGGGGGCGCTCACCCTGCAATCTGTGTGGGTCCTAATTCCCCAGTATAGTGACGGGGACACTATACTGTAAAAAGGCGCCGTCCTTCAGATGAGACAGAAAACTGAGATTTTGACTCTCTGTGGTCATTAAAAATCCTAGGGCATTTCTCGAAAAGAGTAGGGGTGTTACCCCAGTGTCAATCATGGCCTCCTAATAATCCCCATCTCTGAACTGGCCTCAACACTCTGCTCTCCTCCCCACTGAGAGCTGGTGTGTGAGGAGAGGACTTGCACACTGGTGGTGGTGGAGGGGAGTCCCCATTGCCTGTAAAGCGCTTTGAGTGGAGTGTCCAGAAAAGCACTATAGAAGTGTAAGGGATTATTGTGACTATGTCCGCACATATGTCCATTTTATCCTACATCAGAATTCCTCCCCCGTCTAATCTCTTCAGTCTGCGTCAGCGGTGGTGAGTGTGGTAATCACAGAAGGATGTAGGTGTGTCTTCAGTGGGCTTTATCAGTGTGGGGAAGACGTGTCAAAGCTCTGGTGGTAAGGGTGCTGGCCCTGCCATGCCGTGCCCCAGCCGATACTGTACTCACACTGCTGGTGCCAGAGGGCGGAGCGGGCATGTGGCGCCACTGCCTGGGCGCAGCAGCATCACACCTGCTGCCAGGGGCGGAGCGGTGGCTCTGTGGCTCAGGATCTGCGCCTGTGACTGGAAGGTTGCCGGTTCAAATCCCGCGGCCGGCAGAGGAATCCTACTCCGTTGGGCCCCTGAGCAAGGCCCTTAACCCTAACTGCTCCAGGGGTGCCGTACAATGGCTGACCCTGCGCTCTGACCCCAAGCTTCTCTTCCTGTCTGTGTGTCTGTGTCTCCATGGAGAAAAGTTGGGGTATGTGAAAAGATGAATTCCTAATGCAAGAAATTGTACAGGGCTAATAAATAAACATTATACATTATTATTATACACAGGGCACAGCAGTTCCAATGAACGAGCGACCTGTGCTCAGACAGCCCTGCGGTTCACAGTAAGAGCACAGCAGGTTTCTGCAGTATTGCCTTCCCTTCGTTTGTCTGTGGGAGTGAGAGAGGATGGGTGGGGCAGCCGCAGTGTTACTGTACAGATGGATGGGAGAAAAAATAACACGACAGGAACATAAATATACATATTTGCATAGAAAGTCAAGTGCTCAGTAACGATTTAGCTACAGGTGGCTTACAGGACGAGAACTTAAATCTGTTGGGTTCTGATGGGAGTCACTGGAAATTATTAAACAAGGGGTGTGAAGGATCGTCACAGATGGGGTTTGCTTTATGCAAAACATGTGTATGATAGATGGAGGAGAGGGCTGGAAGATCGGCACCGAAGACCTTCTGACGGATTTTCACAAGGCTGCACAGTTTGATCTTGAAGACTGCACGGTTTGTGGGTGTTTTTTCTCGCCAAAACTTAAATCCAGCAAGCAGATAAAGCAAGCACAGCGGCTTCTCACAGGCATCTCGGTGCAAGAGGCAGCTCTAGTGGGTGAGAGAGCAGAGTGGAGTCTCGCCCCAGTTTCAGTGCTGAGAGAGAGCGGGCCAGAAGCAGGCTGGTCTGGTTACCAGCACTCTGTGATCTGCGTGGGAAGGGGAGGAGGAGGCTGATCTTGATCTGTGACACACACACAGCGCCTCAATTTTAACATCATGGCCCATGCCCTTCATCCGAAGTGCAACATCCATTCTCCTGTGTTTTCTGCATATGTGCATATCAATGTAATTGAGGGAATGACCCCCATAATTTATTTGCATATTTACATATTCATTTACATACTGTATGAGATCCTTGGTTAATTAGTTACTAACAACCAGTTGAGCTATATGGTCTGAATGGCCTCCTCTTGTTTGGAGCTGTTCTTACAGTTTTGTGGTGCATAAGAAAGAGCAGTCTTCAGGTTAACTAAAATACTGTACATGGTGATTTGTAAAACAGCTCTCTGTAGCAAAGTGAGTATAATATAAATTTCCATGACTTGATGATGATTCTAATCTGAATGTTGTAGCAGGAGTGCAGCCCAGGTGCTGCCTCACAGTTCTTGGGTCTTGGTTCCAATCTGGACTTCTGTGTGGAGCCTGCATGTTCTCTGCACCTCCATGTTGTTTTTCTGTTGGTGTTTGTTTCTCCCTCCTTCCAGAGACACTGGCTAGGTCAATCGGTTTCTCTAATTCAGTTCAGTTCAATTCAATTTACTTTATCCATCCCAGTGTAGCAATTAGATTTGAATTGTTTTTGTGTGTTTTGCACATGACTGGTTTTCAGACCATTCCAGTTTGCTGGGTGTAGTTCCATCCACCCATTTTCTAACCACTTCTTCCAATACAGGGTCACAGGGGACATGCAGTCTATCCCAACAAGCAACGGGTGCAAAGCAGGGCACACCCTGGATGAGATGCCAGTCTATCACAGAACGCACACGTTTGCTCCAGGGCCAGTTTCCCCAAAAGCCAACTAGTATGTCTCTGGAGCATCTGGGAGAAACTCATGCAAATACAGGGAGAACATACAAACTCCACACAGACAGCACCCAAAGTCTGGAATTGAACCCAGAGCGTAGTTTTCCCTTGCACGCTAAGAGTCTTGATAGACTCGGAGTAGTTGTGGCCATTACCGGGAATAAACGGCTTTCTGCACTCCTGTGAAAGTTTCGACAGGAAAAGGAGAAAAAGCCCCCTGCTGGCCATTTCTCTTTACTAATAGGCGTTCACTTTCGAGCACTAGAGGGCGAGTATGTCCTGTCCTTCCAGCAGTCTGAAATCTTACTCCTGCAAAACAGCGCTGATCCTCCAGAACTGATCATTAATCGCTGTTCCCGGGCAATGCTATCTAGGCTGCAATAAACAGAAGAAGCAGAAAATTCAGGAATTCTAGGAAGCAAAGGAATGTTATGAATGTGTGGAGTACATCAGCAGGAACTTGATCTAAAACAGAGTTTCTTCAGTGAGAGATTGCACAATTTGTTGTGATTCATTTATTTGCTTGTTAAAGTTTTGTTCGCGTTTTCGTAACGGTGCACATGTTTTCTCCTTTGTGTTGCTCGAGTGGTTGTTAAATAAGGACCAGCTCATGAAAAGAAAAACAAAAACATATGGAGATGGGCCAGAAGGGAAAAACAGGGCAGTGCGTGATTCTAGATCAAGGCTCATGTTGTGGTAGAAATGTGAGCTTCGCTCTCAGAGGCGGCAGGCCATGCATCTTCATCTGACCCACTGTTTACCCAGTACCCAAGAGCCCCTGGGACCTTGGTCAAATAGTCTTGATCTCACCCAGGGGTCACATGTAGGGAAACAACAGCTGCTGTCTTGAGCCTTTGAGATCTTTAATTGAATTACACTGTTGTAATATACTCCCTTTGGTCTGGCCGAGGAATCAGCAGACAGCAGAGAATCCCACAGGACAGTCGATAGCGGAAATCCATTTGATTGTGCAATACGTTTGTTTCTTGCAAGCAGGGATCGTTTGGACATTCATCGGCAAGTGAACTGAAGGTGATGTGATAACTCTCCCTTCTCTCCGTGTGTCTCCAAATCCTGTCATCTAGAATTGTTTTTTTCCTCCTAAACTGCTAGTGCACCACGAGCATCCTCAAGAGCCCGTTTAGGTCCTCGGACACGTGAGAGCTTTAAACGCACTGGAAAGCAGCGAAGGCACTGGAAGGAATGACGTGTTGCTGGGTGGATCGGGATTCTGGGAAGACTTGGACACAAGGCTCCTGCGGGTCCTGGCCAGGGCTGATGTCAGCTGACGGAGTGCAGAATCCCCGGGATCGTCGCGGAGTGTTCTTTCTCAGGGAGCCGTGAGGCGGACACACGCTTGTGGGCTCCTCTCTTGTGATCACGCTGTCGGCGCTGCTGACGCCCGGCCGCAAACCTCCCGATTCTTGTGATCAACATGAAAGCCCGAGGTCAGGACAGAGGTCTGGCCTGTGAGTAATGGGTTATCTTCCCCTGCTCGTCTCACGCCACAGCAGGGAGGGTAGCTGCACACAAGCCAGAACAAGCACCCCTTTCATGGACTGCAAAATCCACAGCCGGCTAACAGCAAGCTGGAGTGTTCAGGGTCTATGCATTATTAACAAATGTAACTGTAATTGTGTCTCCAGCGCCTCAATCAAGGGTCCGCGACTTTCATGAGCACAGTGCTGACACCCCCCTCTTCATTTAAAAACACTCGGATATCTATTCCTCTGTCAGATGCAGATCAGCATCCTTGCATCCTTCAGACTTCATGTTTCACACATGGGACACTGCTGTAGCAAGGGATGCTCGTGCTTTGACTAGTATTTGCCCCGTGAACTGCTTCCTGTGCGTTCTTCCTCCCTTGCGAGAGACGTGTCTCGTTGGAAAGAGTTCTGAGAATCGTGCTGAGGCCGACAGGCCCCGTTAGGAACGCTTCAGCCAAGAAGACCCTGAGGATCTGGATTGTCACCGAGTCCAGAAACGCCTTTCTCCCTTCTCCCCAACCTCTTTCCCTCACTTGCCTTTCCTGCCAGGCCAAGTCTGAGATCAACATGCTGTGCTCCTACGTTCTCTTCCAATACAAAAGTTTGGCTACAGCTGCACTTCTCCCTAACGGGGATAAACACCAATCATGAGCACAAGTGTATGCGCTCACAGGAAACAGCAGGCTGAGGAATTTTACAGCAGAAGGTTCTGCGGGAGTGCTTATGAACCGTCTCTTACTCTTTAGTGATGGCAGCTGCTGTGTTAACCTCATGTTTCCACCCCTCATAGCTCAATGAGGCCTCTCCACTCACCCATGCCCCCACTCACCTTCCTGAGCTCCCGCTCTGCTGGATTATCCCAGCTGGGCAGGGATGGAGGAGGAGGGATTTGGTAACAGCGCCAGTGCTGCTCCAGTCTCTCAGAGCCACACAGCACCAGCTCCAGGAGCGATCTGGCCAGATGCCTCTGTCACTCAAACCCGTGAGCAATGGGGTGCATGTTAAGACAGGCACACAAGCTATTGGATTACGGAATACAGGGGGACCTGTCAGCGATCGCATCTGCAGGACAGGGGGCTGGCGGCGAGGGCAGGAGCTGCACTGCCCTCTGCACCGATGGGTCTGAAGTGCTCTGCAGTGCCGGGGGCAGGGCATGCAGTGCAAGAGGTCAGGAGGAACGCAGGAGGAGTGCAATCAAGGCACAGACATCCCAGCCTCGCTGATACCTGCCTGAAGTCTGCACACACGTTTCAGCCTGGCTCCAAACAGAGACAGGCCCCGGTGTTTGAAGTCTCCACTTAACAAGAAAAAAAGGACTAATTATAAAGCATCCAATATTTTTGACCGATCACCACAGCTAAGGGATCACGTCCTGGGGCTGCAAACTCCTTAGTCTAGAATCCAAAGTCTTGACCGCATGTGACTCACCTACTGTAATTAAGCTGAGCTTCTTTAATTCAAATGTGTAGTTAGTTAGGTTTGTCCATTTCCTTACTCACTCTGCTTTCATTTTACCCTACGTGGCAACAACTGTTGTGAATAAGTTAGCGTTTGTTCAACACAAAGAATTTCTTTGAAGTATTTCCGGTTGTACCGATTTCTGTAGTGTCAACATGGGGATGAAAAAATGTGCTCGTTTATTGTCAGTTCTGGGACATTTCGCTAGTAGAAATCGCTATCGATCACCTTCCAGAAAGTTCTCTGAAACTGCGGTTGTATTCCGGCACAGAGAGAATAGTTACCCCAGGAAATGCTACTTGCGAGAATCAAAAGAGATGGAGGGTAAGGAACTGATTTTGGAGAGGGACAGAGAGAGCGCGAAGGCGACACTCCCGAGTTAAACTGCAAATCCTGCTGAAACAGCCCCTTGTCCAGCCTGTACAGAGAACCGTCTGGGCCGAGCTGTTCGCCTGCCAACAGAAAACACTTAACTCCCCGTTTTGGCAACTTAGCAACTTGAGAGACGCTAGTCCAAAATCCACCAGCTAATCTAATGAGTGTTACGTGCCAGAAAAACCCCATAACAACGTATCTTCAAGAAATAAAGCAGTTTGCCCCTCCTGAACGTGATTAGCAAGTTAAATACGGCTTATTCAGGGCACGACAATGGCTCATTGCGTCAATCATAATGAGACCTTGGAGGGGGACTGCAGGGGCTTCTTCTCTTAACAAGGAAGGATTCTTCCTGTGCCTTACATAAGCATGCACTCCCTAATTTAGGGCAGAAAAATGCATATAAGGACTTTGAAGCCCACCTAAGTTGTTCGTTACTGTTAGTGGTGCTTTAGCACTTTCGAAGGGTGTTCCCATCCACCCTTTGGGTTAACAAAAAAAAAGAGTTTTGATAAACATCTCTTGTACGCTTTCATTTCATTGCCACAGGGAGCCCTCACTGTGACAAACGTCAGTGATGGAAATGGGGGCTCTAAGTCCTGTCACTTCCTGTGTCTGGTCTCTGAAGAAAGTGGCTGTGAAACATGAAATGGCTGTGAAATTCACGGCCGTCTGAGTTCAGTAATCACGATCGGGTGAAAAACAGTTGCCGTGGGTGAATTGGGATCATTGCTCCACAGGCTTTATTGATGAGTGCGCTGTAAGGCGAATCAGGACTAGGGGACGCGCTTACATCGATTTACTTCCTGGTGACAACAGGAAGTACTCAGTCGTGAGAGCAGACATTCAGTGAAATTAGGACAAGGGGGCACATTTACATTTGTTTACTTCCTGGTGACATGAGGAAGTACTTCAGTCCCGAAAGCCCACCACAATATAATGCATAAAAACATATTATATTGTTAATTCAAAACTTGTATTAACAATGTAGCCCTGACCCCAGTCCATGGCGCACGTGGGTGTTCTTCCCACTTAGCGTTAATTCAGCAGGTTACTTTCCAACGGGCTTTTTACCACTCCTTCAGGCCCACATGTCCCCCACTTCAGGTTAGTGTAAGGCCATGAGTCTGCAGAGCCCAACGCCGACTGGGGAAACAGCACTGTACAGACTACACACACACACAAGCTCTGCTTAATAGCGCCGAATAAACACACTTGTTTTTCTAGGACATGTTATTTTTTAATTACCTCTCTTTCCAAACAAGTGGTTAGTGTGAGTCAGCAAAACAGCCCTCTACTATGACCTAGAGCGCCACAAAAAAGTGCTCGTGTTTTTTTTTTTTCTAGGAAGCCTGCGTGTCCCTCCACAGTTAAATCTGCACACACAGTGACTCAAACCTTTGAGCATTTTACAGCCAGTACAACACTCAATCTCCTCACACAGAAAACGTGTTGCTGTCGGGCTTCTGTGTGATTACAGGGACCAGGGACAGGGAAGTTCCCCTCTGCTATCTGCCAATGATTATATCCGTTGTAAGACAGTTTTGTTTTGTTTTTAATCATGGTTTGAGGAAGTGTGTTACAACTTTTTGGCGGGTATGTTTCCGAGCTGAGATTCTGTGCCGGAATCTGAATTGTCTTTAAACAGGTGAGAGTGAGCAAGTCTGCCAGGGGTGGTTATCAACACGCAGGGAAAGCAACATCCCCCAGAAAGCCTGTGTCTTTTGTTTCAGAATCTTACATTCCACAGCTTGTGGTTTAATGACCAAAGGATCACTGGAAAAAATGCAGATTATTTTTATGGCATATTAATCTGGGGCAACCACAATGTCTTATTGTTTTCAGAGACCAGATGGTGTCTCAGAAAGTATTTTTAACAGGGGTGTGGGCAGGGAGGGTTAACGTCCCTGTCAGTAGAGTGTGTTGGAGGGTTTGGGGGTACAGGCCCTTGGCCAGCCCCTGCTAAGCTGGCGTCATGGGGTTCAAACAGAAGGCTAGACATCTATCTTGTCTCCCCCACACCACCACAATCTCCGCAGAAACACAAGTCTTTGCTGCTAACCTTGTTAAAGATTTAGTAGGCGAAGTTTCACTCTGCTATATCATGGAAGAAGCACTACTATCATTATCCAGTACTTGGTGAAAATGTTCAGATGAGGACAGATGAGAGCTTTTAAAGACATCCAAGGTCTTCTAGTAAACCAATATCAGAAACGTTTTATCCTCTCTGTACAAGAAGAATATTTTATATAAAACTTATCAATGAACACCTGTCACAATTAAATGCCCAGACATTGTATAAATGTGTAAAGTACTTGAAATAATCCACTATTTCTCAGTAAATATAACTGGACACTCTTTGCCAGTTTGTACTGTACAGTTTGTTTGTTCTCAGAGTAATTTACACAGTCAGTGTGGACTGAATTCAGCTCCTCGTAGAACCTGTGACTAAAAAAACCTTGAACTGTACTTCAAGTATGACCACTGTTTTATTGAGTTTTTCCAGTGCAGTTTCAGATCTCCCCATATTCCTGTTTACTTTATTTCTTAAATCCATTTCCCCTTTTCTCTCAGGAGCTGCAGCTCCACTCCAGATGTTCGGAAAATGAGTCTCCACCACCAGTACAGTGGATGACCAGGGATAACACCTTGTAATTCCAGGCTGCATGCAAGGGCGTGTTGTAGTTTAAGGTTAAAATATCCACCTTCCTGTATGGACAACTGCAAAATAAGGAATGTGCAGACGTGAAGTTTAACAGATGTCAAAGTCACAATCCTGTGGCACTTAAAGGAAAATTATGCAATCAAACAAAAAAGTATAGTACACTATGAATATTTTGAAAATAATACTGCATTGGCCTTTATTATGCTGTATGCTCCTTGCAGCGTGAGTGCTCTATGCAGACAATACAACACTGTTGTGTTTGCGAATGTTTGCAGTCTGAAGTCTTTTCTTGCTGCCTCATTTGCTCACAGGGCTGTCGTTTCTTTCCCAGTTCACACAAACCTCATAAACGCATCTGTTTTACATTGTCTATTGTGAATCAAAGTGTGGAAAGATTTTCAGAGGTGGAGACAATATCTGCCCTGCAGGAGTCTTCAGACATCCTGTGTTTTTCAGTGGAGCTGCTGGGGTGATGCATGTGAACTTGATGAGACTGTTGATTTGTGCATTTTTGATAAGAACGTCTATCTAAAGGCTTATTTACAGTACACAGTAGGGCAGTGTGTTTGGAGAACAGTGCAACAGCAGATATAGAGCATGAGCACAGATATGCAGTTCACTCTATTCCATAATTTATTCATCCAGTGGCAGAGAAACGTGTTCTCACCGTTTGGCAAACACCTACAAAGAAATGTATGGCATCTGTAAGATTTCTGATTTTGCAGCCTTTATTCACAAATTGTATTGAATATTTTGGTCTCAAAAGGCTCCTGAGAGATTCCGTTTGCTTGATGGAATACCTTCCCTTTCTCCAATGAAGACTCCCTGGAAGTTAATCAAGCCAAGTTTCACATATTGTCAAACAAAATCTCTGAAAGATCCCACAGAAGTTTTGACTTCTTCCGAGGCTTTTAGAAAGATGCCATTTGTGGAAATAATGTAGTTTGGGTAAACATAAAAAATACACCAGTGCAAAAACAACCAGGACCTCTGATGGTTCCACTAGAGCAATCATTCCACCAACACCTTCAGCTTCCTGACAGGAACCAAACCCTGTGGACACGACCTGGACTCTGCTTGTGCTACAGACCACTCGGCTACAGATTCCCAAAGGCAGTATCAAAAGGCAATTTTTTTGTGTGGTGCATTCCAGCAGGGAAAAAAAAAATTGCTGGATGTGAAACCTTAATCAGATTCCCAGCAACACAGCTGTACCACCCTTGCCCTGCCCAGCCACCTCCTCCAGGCGACCTCAGTCAGAACTGGGATTCGGACAGGAGCTCCCTGCCGTTGCTGGCTGTCCTGTGCTCGTCCCCGCTCCCCCCCTTCGTGGTGCTGGGGGGGCTGCCCTTGGTGGACAGGGGCTGCTCACTCTTAAGCGTGCCGTCGTTTTTCGCCGGCGTCTTCCCCGTGCTCAGGGACTTCTGGAAGGACTCGGAGGTGAAGTAGTAGACGAAGGGGTCGAAGCAGCAGTTCAGCGTGGCGATGCAGAGGGTGATGGGGTACAAGGTGCGGGCGAAGCGCTCTAGCCAGCAGCTGGCCAGCGCCTGGGACCGCACCATGGCGTAAAGGAAGAGGACCGAGTTGTAGGGCACGAAGCAGACCACGAAAATGGCCACGTGCACCACGATCATCCTCAGCACCCGCTCCTTGTTGGTGCCGATCTGGCAGAGAGTGGCCGGCTTGCGCAGCGTCCGCAGGACCATGGAGGAGCAGCCCAGGTTGAGCAGCAGGGGGATGAGGAAGCCCACCAGCTCGATGAAGATGGTGATCTTGGACAGGTAGGTCCTCCAGGTTTTCTTGGAGAAGCCTTCGAAGCAGGTGGTGCTGGAGTTCGACACGTTGGTGGTGGAGAAGAAGGAGACGGAGATCCCGCCCCCCAGGACCAGCAGCCACACCCCCGCGCACATGATCCCCGCGTTGCGCCGGGTCCTGACGGCCCGCGAGCGGAACGGGTAGACGATGGCCAGGAAGCGGTCCATGCTGATGCAGGTGAGGAACAGCATGCTGCCGTAGATGTTGGTGAGGAACGCCGTGCCGGAGACTTTGCACAGCCCGTCGCCGAAGGGCCAGTGGCGGTTGAGGTTGTAGAAGATCTTGAAGGGCAGAGTGAAGACGAAGAGGAGGTCGGACACGGCCAGGTTGGTCATGAAGAGCGTCGTCTCGTTGCGCAGCTTCATCCGGAAGCAGAAGACGAAGAGCGAGGCGCAGTTGGTGATCAGGCCCAGGACGAACACCACGCTGTACACGGCGCCGTACAGGTTGTACTTGAAGGAGTCGTCGATGGCGCAGTCTTCCGGCCGGTCGCCTCCGCTCTCGTTCAGGCCAAGGCTGGCCATCACAGGGGGGTCAGTAAGGTGGTCAGCAAGGCAGCACGGGGACCCTCCTCCTCCAGCCCATCGTGTGTGCAGCCCTGAGCAGCGAGGACCCCCTTCTGGACCAGGAGCGCGCAGGCAGCCCGTTTCTCTTCCGTGATGTCCCGCGGGGCCCGAGTCCCGTCTGTATCCTGCGGAGCACAGGGAAGAAGCAGGGCTGAGGTCAGCACGTCAGCACGGGCTGCTCTCAGAAACCACCGAGAGTTTGCAACACTCCACCCGCCTGCTGGATGTTACATAGGTCAGCCTTTCAGTTTTTGCAATAATGTTTCTCCCATCGATTTTCTCATTTCATGCCGGAAGCAGCTGGTTTCAGAGAGCTTGCAAAATAAAATCAAAATACGGCGTGCATTGCGGACTCTTAAATTAATGGGAGGGGGTAACGAACGCTCGGGAGGGATGACAACAACCAACTTCAGTCAGACTTGGCAGTCAGTAATTATCAATCACTCCTCACATCATTTCCTCTCCTAAAACACCACAAATACTGTACGTGATCCCCTTCTCTCCTTCGCATCCCAACTCCACCCCATCTCCACCTCTGCAGTGGCCCCTTGGTCACTCCTCTCTGCAGGGGGGTCCCAGCCTCCTAGTCCTCTGGCCAGGAGGTCAGCCCTCAGCCACGCGGCTTCGGCCAAATCGTGACTCAACACTCCATAATCCTTTCTGTGCGCTTACTTCTTGGGTGTTGTTATACCTAGTGAAATAAGCTGCAAGAAGCCTTTTTCCCCAGCACTTGCCGATGAGCTCCTGCTCGTGCCCCTGCCTCTGTCCTGGCTGGGTGTGGATATAATGTACCCCTGCGAAGCCACATGTGCCTGTGTCAAGTGCGACCTTCGGCAGCAGGTCCTTGTGCTTGTTGGGCCGAGTTCTCAGAATCCGCTCTATTTCCGCTTTGTAGCAACCGCCAGTGTGTGGACGCGGAGCTGGTAACCTGGCCCTCTGCCCAAGGGCTGACTGAGACCACAGTCTGCAGTGCAGACAACCCTGTAACCCATCAGACTGTCAGGGCCATCTCCACATTAGAGCCTGAATTGTTCTGTGTATTTATACAGAACGTATGAATTGCGCTGTGGCCATCTTTTATGCTGCACTTCAAACAAAACCCAGGAAAAGAAAAATACATATACACTAGGACTGAAAAAAACACTTTCCACAACGATGATGCACTAAGACAGACGCTACAGGACTGTCTCCAATCTCCTCTTTTATTTCCGACTATATTAAACGTGCTGCTGAGAGTAGACACTGATAAGAACAGCGGTGAACCATGACCAAGTAATTAAATAATTACATCCAATCAAGAGAGTGGGGAAGACTTAGCAAACAACAGCAATAACAAAAGGAATGGCCTGGTTTGGGCAGGAAGTAGAGGTCTCTCAGTGGAGGGGAAGCAGACAGTCTCCTAGTCTTGAGCCCCCCCTCCTTCCCACCAGCCTCTCTGTCCTGAAGGGCTAGGGGATTATTTGAAGTTGCGGTGCCTCACCCAGATCAGATGACTTGAACTAATCCGTTCCCCCTTCGTGCCGAAACAAAAAAAGCCCGGCCGTGTTCCCCAGACATTAGTCTTTAAACATAACAGCTGTGCTGCCTCTGCTCTGGCCCTGGTTGAAATGTTTTCACACCGGCCACTCGGCGCAGTGCATGGCTTTCTCTGTGAGCATGCGTGCATGTGGGGATTGAACTGGTCTGTGCACATGTTTTCACTTCTGAGTGTGTTTTTATTTTCATTTATGCAAGTCAAAGAGTGAGTGTGCGAGCATGTGAAGAAGAGATTTTTTTTTAACAGTACAGCCCTCTAAACCTGTTCTGTAAACCGCTGTTAGGAGTTATGTTATTTCTGTGTTAAAAGTTACTCCCCACTGATCTTAGTCTTGTTCCAAAGCATCTGGAGTTAGCTAATCACCTAACAACCTACAGGCGTTCACAGAGCTGTAAATGGAGTAGCACTCCTGCCATTGTTGCTCAATCCCCAGGGCTTGACTTAAAAAAAAACATCTACAGTATGGATCTGATGCTCAAAAACACGCAACACAAGAGGCTGAAAAACACTGTTCCAGATCACAAACAACCAAGAAAGGAACTGGAAAGCCACTCTCTTCTTTCAGCAAAAATAAATATTTCTTTTAGTAAAATTTACAAGATTGGCAACCTGAAACCTTGTTTAATGTGCCACGAATCCTCCAGGACTCAATGCTTCTACCAGTATTTTTAATAGCCTTTCTTTCTAGACGATTAAAAGACCACACTTTATTTTACTGTAGGAGAATCCGTTCTCAACATCCATTATCACTCACCAGTGCCATGCCAGAATGTACACTCAGCTGCCCCGGTAGCTTTTTTGGGGGGAAGGGGGTGGCACAGCGTACTCGCATTCAGGCAGCTGTGAATAATGTTCCTGGTCCATTACTGAGCGCCACAGGCTTCACACAATGTGCTTACTGTAATGGTCTCTTACGAAAGGCGACTTCCAACATGCTGACTGTATTGGGCAGCTTTCCACTTGCTCCCTGGCTGGCCTGTGAGCTGGCTTGTCTTCCCTCTCAAGGTCTTATCAGAGCCCAGTGTCAAACTGTAACTGTCTCACCTCCCACCTCCAGTCGCACGTGAGTGGGTCCGACAGCAGGGACGGGCCCCCCTCCCACAGCGACTTCAAAGGCCCCAGAGGGGCCTGAGGTCTGTCTCTCTCACACTCCAGAGCTGTGGAAAACTGCTCCAGCGCGCAGGGGTGCTGGAAAGACCCGCGGCTAACGAGCAGACGAGGGGCCGACTGCTGCGGTCAAGCATCATCAAGCATCGCTGGCGAGAGAGCGGGGGACTGGAGGGATCTGAACCCCTGCTTTTGTTTCTTCTATGGGACATGCGGATTCATGCTGACCCACTTTGTTAATGGGGTGACGGCTGTGGACCTGAGTGCTGCAGTTTCCCGTCAGTCCAGCACACACACAAATAAATCTGTGAATAAGCCATGGGAATAGGAAGTGTTTTTCCTTCTCCGCCATGTCTGCCATGTCTCTGGACAGGCACATGGCCCTCTGAGTTTTGTTTCCTAGCTTAATTGGTTCTGTTACTGGCTCCTCGTCTTTTCTTACAGAATAAAAGCTGAAGGTTTAATTAAGCGGCAACTCTTGATTCAGCCTGCGCCAGCGAGGAAAACAGTTCAGGCCTGGTACTGTAAATATTTACAGTAAATCCCATCAGGTGGGTCAGGATTGGACTGAGGGGGTGTGTGTGTGTGTGGGGGGGTACAATCAGGCTCGCCATTGGTGATAAGAACAAATCTGAAGCCACAGTCCCACTTCCTCCTATGAGTGGCTGCTCCCTGTCACCAACAGGAGCCACTTGCTAGGGGTCCCAGCCAGCAGCAGCGGTGATCTGTGTTGGGGGTCCGAGCTTCACAGTCTTTCAATGAGTGGGTTTCCAACTGCTACTACACCACTGTGGCCTTCCCGATACGAGCCTATAGACCTGCAGATCTCGGCCTTTCCTTTTGTATTTATTCAAGTTGCAGCAGTAACCTGCGCTGAAGAAAATGTAAGCCCAGAGGAAGCCTTTGCTCGGCAATTCATAGATAATATCCACCGGGATAAGTTCTGCGTGCTCTTAAAACTGTTCTAGTTAGCTTTCAAAGAGGGTCCTGTACAAAATAATGATTAATTGATTGGTACACGCTTGATCAAGCCCCCCTGATCTGCCTGCACTGTCAGCTGGTTCAAAAGTCTTGTTCTTCGGCAGCGTACTGACCAGTGGGGCCCTCAAGCGTAGTTAAGCACAGCACATGTGGCGCTTCTCTTTGGCCCAGGGAGACCAGCAGCATGGCTCTGTGGGTTCATTACTGCATACTGTAGGGTCCCAGAAAAAACCCCAGTCCCCAGCCCACATCTCTCCTGCCCAGCGTCCAGATGTGCTAAAATGTGGAGGCCCTCTGGGGGGGTCGGACCCCAAACAGTTGCTGGCAGAGGGGGCACGGCTTTGTAATTCGCGTACGGCCGGCTGGTACCCACAGTGTAATGTGGACTGGCAGGGCTGGCCAGAGAGAGGAAGGAGCGAAGGAGGGAGGCCGTGGGGGCAGAAGGGTGCTTGTTAAGTGTATTACAGACACATGTGCACACAGCAGTTAACATGGCTGTGGGGGATGTGTCACGGATCAAAGGCTTCTCTCCCGTCCTAAGTAACACTTGCACGTGTTTCAGACAGTGTTACAAGGAGTGTAGCAAGGAGGACCAACATACGGGTTTACTGTACATGAGGTACATGTTTTATAGCCGCAGCTCCGGGCTCTGTGAAACCTGCTCCGAAAACAGACTCCAGCTGTCCTGTTCTTTCATTCCACAAGGCTCCGCGCCCCCGGGTCAGTCACGGGGAGACCGCCCAGCCCGAGACCCCGATATCCGCCTGCAAGGAGCTGCAGTCACAGTCTGTGCGCCGCCGGTTCATTGTTCCCATGCGATCGGTCGAAAACCCTCTCCCTGCTCTGCTGTGCCCGTTTCTGCACGAATTATCTCAGGTTGTAAAGTCCAAATAATTAGTTTCAGATCACAGCAACCGGGACATTATAATAAAGTACAGTGGATGTCTCTTTGGGATTCATTAGTAATGTCACATACTGTACATGCAATCAAAACAGATTGTAGTCAATTATTTATAATAATAATAATAATAATAATAATAATAATCGGGAAGTATTCTAAATTATTATTCTTGCAGAGATTACCAATGTTACTTGATTGTATTGTAACATGTTACATATCTGCGTGCTACAATCCTCGATTCCGTTAACAGCGATTGTGCTCTGTTTACGTGCGCTCCCGTTGATCAGCAGAGACCGAAGCTGTCTTGAACTCACCCCCGTCGTTCCGCTCAGTCACTCCCGGGTTCCATCACTCTGGGTTAAGCCGTCAGCTGCGAGAAACCGGCACACTCGGACAATGAAGGCGCGGAAAGGTTCCCCATTTGGAAATAAAACCATTCTAAAAAAAAAAAAATCAGCTACAAGGATCAGCTTCAGTTCATTCTGATTTTCACGTTAGCGCAAGACGTAGCGTCCACGGAGAGAAATAGAGGGGAAAACAGACGTGAGATTCCAGCTGACAAGGATACGCGAATGTTAATACCCCGAATCGCCCGCTGCACTGCTGGTCCGAGTCTCTTGTTTCTTTGGCACGGAGCGGAGATGGAAGTTGGGGAGGTGGGAAAAAAAAAGGGAAAAGCTGAGCTCCACTGCACGGACGCCGTGAGTCTCCGTGTGTGACGGCGTGCTGTCGTGCTGCTCGCTATGGAGACTGGAGACTGAGCACAGGAAACTGGACAATAACACGTCCAGCGCCGAACGGGGAGGGAGGGGGGGGGGTCAGTCTGTAGGATATGCCTGTCATTGGTTAACTCTAGGGGGGTAATGGTGAGGAAATCGGGGCGCTCTTGAGTAGCGTTCTCCAAGCCACACCGAGTGTCTCCCCCGAAACACCGTGTCGAGTGTTCACGACGATGGACTAAAAATCCCTAATCCGTTTAAGACCAACAGAATGGTATTTATTCACCCTGGCTAGACCCACCCCGTGACTCCGGAATTTCTGTTATTTGTCCAGAAATGTCAGAGGTGCTGCCTCAGACGAAATGCCATTGTTTTATCGTGGCTTTTGTTCATTTCTCTATAAACGCTCCAGCTTTGTCGATTCAGGCGAACAGCCAGATGACAGCACCTGCTACATGACACAGGACTTGTAAGGAGAGGATGCGGTTTTTTTTTTATTCCAAACCATTAAAAAAAAAACTCGAACAGTATGCACACAAACACAAAACATATTGTTAGATTAACCCGCCATCGTTTATGTTTTAAAATGTCTTGCTTATAAACCCAAACATATTGCGCATGCCACATATTAAAATTAATGTTTCTTTTAAATCCGGCATTATATAAAAATACAGAGGGGCATCTGACAGACGAATTTCATTTCCACTGATGAAGTACCTGATTTGGAAGCTCAGTTTTAAGGTTTCAAATGAACTCGAAGGTGTTGATCTTTCAGGGGGCAGACCCTGTAACCCCTGCCCCCAGTATGGACGCTACCAGCAGCTGTAAGAGTTCCTGCTGTAGACCTGACTGTATAAAATATTCCATCCCACCGTCAAGGAAAGGAAATCAGTCATAATTAAAAGCCCCAAACAAAGTTCTGCTCAGCCACTCCTTTATTCTACGATACAGTACCTCCGTACCGATCATCCTCAGCAGGATTTACTAAACATTTCCCTTGTTTCTTCTTGCTGTCTCTCCTTCCCTTTCTTTCTCTGTCCTCCCTCCCTCCCCCCGCTCTCTCTCTCTTTCTGCTGGGGCTGCTGTGCTTCCTGTTGTCCTGGGTCAGACAGAAGAAGGTTCACCCTTCTGCTCCTGAGCAGATTGAAGCACTTCGTCATGTTCTGTCAGGGTGGGGAAACCCTTCTTCTTCTTCCTTTTCTTCCTGACCGTCACGGCACTGTTACAGCTCCTGCGTCTCGGCGGTGTCCCTAAATATAAGCTCCCCCCCGGCGTGTTTGCGGAGAGGCCGGCCGGCCCTCGGTGAGGCTCGGTGAAGTGCGCGGGAGAGCTGCTCTGACAGAGGGGGTGTCCTTGGGCTGCGCTGAGCGTTTCATCTCCCATACAGTAGCTCCGGAGCCCGCAGGAAATCCTGCATTCCCAACACCTCAAGCACCGGCCGCAGAGGAGCCGTTCCGGCGCTGACTTCTGATGGTAGAAGCTGACTTTGGGCGCCCCTCTGTGCCCCACCGTCCCTCTGGCTGCCTATAATTGTCATCTCCTGCAGCTCCTGGCCTCCCTCTCCCAGGGGAGACGGGTTTCTCCAAACCGACACAAAACTGGTGTTTTCTCTCACGTCCCTTCACTCCGCTGCAGACTCCATCTGCCCTCACGTCTCCTGCCCGGTGCGCGTTTTGAAAATGAAAAAAAATAAAATAAAAATAAAACCCCAGGCTGGCTTGAAGGCTGGCCTGAGCCGTTCGAGAGCAGATTTGTTTCACAAGCAGTGATCTCCTCCCCTCACCTCCACGCTCCCCGTGCTCATATTTTTCTCTCTGTGTGTGTGTGTGCGCGTTTGCTTGAGGTGGCGATCTAACCAGGATAGACAATCTGAGAGAGCAGGGCAGGGAAGAAAAGCGATGGCAGATATGATAGAGAGATTGAGCTGGAGCAGCTGGGTGATGCAGCTGAGTGTGGTTGCGACCAGGCTGTGAGCTGAGAGAGGGCTGGGTCTAGACGGTTAAACCAAGTGGGAAGATAAGTCCTGCAGAGGCGTTTCCTCTTTCCTCTTATCTCTCTAATTGACCACAACTTCATTTAATCCCAGCCCCGCATTTAATGAAGACCCGGCACCGCTTGCAGCTAAGTCCTTGCCCGAGCACAGACAAGGGCGTTCTGCTGCGATCCCTGCTCTGTTCCAGCTGCTCCAGAGCCTCTGTCACAGGCAGTAGCGTGCAGGAGCCCTCTGCCCCTGCCTCTCGATGGTCATACCCGAAACAGACAGGGTATCTCCGGCAATGTCAAGCACAAGCAGCTAATTCCTTCTTTCCATGTTCAAATGGAAAAAGGTGAAGATTAATAAATGCGCTGGGAATTTCTTTTTTTTTTTTGGGCCCAGACCCATTGCTTCTTGTACCAGTGGAGCAAATTCTCCTGTTGCTTTTACAAAACTGCTGGGACACACACACGCAAACAGAAACCGAATCACTACCGGGCCCTAAGAAGACAAGACAGTCCGCTGCAGCTGGGCTGATATCTCCGCACTGGTAACAGGTGGGTTGTGGGCTTTTCTGTTTTGTAAGAGTGGACTTTTAACTAGAAGGCCATGAGTTTTAATCCCTTGAGCGTGGGACAACATTACACTCAGATTGTGCCAGTTAAATGCCTACCAGTATAAATGGGTACACTGCTGGGTGTGAATGGCAAGAAGAATTTGCTCTAAATTCCATTATCCGGTTAGTTAAAAAGCTTATAAAATATCTTAGTACAATCAGTTGCTTAGCCAGTCTTTTGGTTGGCTTTAATGGATGTATTGTTTTGAAAGTCCCCTAGCTGTACATTATATAAAGCAGACAATCTATTTTGAAGTACACTTCTCTGCCCCTTCCAGATCCACCTTGTCAATACTAATTCTCTTAGCATTGAAGTTAATTAATGCCTGAGATGACCTACACTATGTACAGTAGGCATCTATTATCACTTTAACAACTCATGCCATAATGTAACAGACTTGCCACTGTCTTTGATCTCTACCCTGTCATAAACTCAGAATGGCATGCTTCTGTGGACAATGCAGCTTACATGCATGTGTGTCTTGCTTCTCTGTGGCTATCAGTGCATCTATTGAAAGTGATTAAAGTGTTCTGTGTAAATGCAGATTTTACAGATGTGTCTGTTATGTCTGGTGCTTCTGTATGTTTTTGGAAGAGCTCAGCAGAAGCTTTGAACACTCCATAAATATTCCCACATTACTCATCTGAATCCAGATGCAAACACCCTTGGAACAGATTGTAAAGACCCCTCCCCCCCCCAGCTGCAAACCAATGGCAGGGAGTCCTTATCTTCCCGAGGAGGGGAGTGGGGGGCAGGGAAAGTTACACTCACACAGACACCAGCCAGCAACAGGGCCACCCTGCTAAAACACCATAAATCACAAGTCACAGCACAACCTCATTAACTGCTGGGACACACACACACAACACCAACTGAGTCATTACTGGGCCCTAACTAGACAAGGCAGTCCTCTGCTGCTGGGCCAATGTCTGCACTGGTAATAGGTGGGTTGTGGGCTTTTCAGACAATAACAAACAACAGTGTTGAAATTAAAAGGAGGTGAATCACACTGGTGTGCCATTGTCCCGTTCAATCCGCAAGCTCTGAGGTTGAAAGAGAAAGGGAATGCTTTAGGGGCATGTAAAGATCACCCATAGACACCTGTCTATCTGTTCCCCGTCTGTGTAAGTAATGCATGTATACTTTATATAAATTTACAAATGATCTAATGCTCCAGCTATTGCAGACAAATGCCAAAAAGTGTAAAAGCCCTTGTAAACAATTCTGATCAAAGCTAATTAATGGCTTAGGGGTATGTTTGAAATGCAATAATCGATTTCATGTAAGAGCTGCAGCTAGGCGAGATCACTCCAGAACTGTGTTTTGAGTGTACAGTAGGTCACACACGCCCCTCTGTGTGTCCGGGCTGGAGTGTGGGGCTGCAGTGAGGAAGGCTGTTGAGTCTCTCGCTCGGTAGAGGGGACGCTGTGGGTCAGCCGATGCCCCCAGCCCCTCCTGGCCACGGCTGCCCAACTCATTAGTCACGCTGTGGTAAACAAAGATCCCCATTATGGAGACCGCAGCAGCCTTTGCTGACTTTTCATTCTCCTGTCTTGTGCTGTAAGGCGGCCTCTCCGTCATCTTGCTGAGCTCCTGCTTTACGGTCTCTCGATGTGCCCTCCCTCTCTCCAGTCCAAACATATCCTCACTGGACCAGGGCCTCCCAGCCCTGCTGCGGGGAAGCCACACCTGCTGCTGTTTGCTCCACTCGAGCAAGAAATTAAATCACTGAACACTCAATCAACATGATAATACAATGTTATACACTTTATAGAACTCTCTAGCTTTGTTCTGTTCCTGTACCAGTTGGAGCTTGCCTTTCAAACACTGCATTGGATAAGTAACTTGCACATTTTCCAATCAGACAACTTGCTTCAGTTAAGGCTTTGTTTAAGCTTGACTTCCTTGCTATTCAGTTTCAGACCCCCGGTGGCCTCGAGTCTTATTTCTGGAGGAGACATCCACAGTAAATGAAGCGGCGAAGTCAGAATGACTCCCCCTACAGCAGCCGCCGTGTGCCGAGGAAGCAACGTCACCTGCAACAGCACCTGCCCAGAGAACAGCAGCTGGGATGAAGGCATCTACATCCTCTACACTGTCCTCTACCTGGTCATCTTCGGGCAGCAGCCTGGCACTGTGGGGGTCCTGAGAATCGAACGGCAGGACTCCACCCTTTTAAACTCACAGCTCAGCTTAGCCTTGTGGAACAGAAGCCTTGGGGACAAGTCAGCTTCCTGAACATCTGCCTTCGCTCCACACTTGCTGATGTGCGTATAGAAGTATTGTTTCTTTTTTTGGATAAAACAACAGCTCCCAGTGTCACGAAAGGGAGGAACAGGGGCACGGCACCATTGTGACACAACACAATTATAACATAACAACCAGTTCTGCACCCAGATGCCCTCCGCCTAAACAGTAATTGACAGAGTCTGAAGCTTTTTGCCCTGGAAGCAATGGAAAACCTGCAATTGTGCAGAATCATCAAGAGGCAATTTTTCCCTCCCGTCCATCGTCAGAACGTTGTTCGTGCTGGTGAGGCCCCAGGTTACAGTGATGGTTAGGATTAGGGAGGGGCGGCAATGTGGTGTCACACTGATGTGTACAGGGACGGTTTG